CACCAACCTAATTATAATAATTAAACTGAATTTACGGAATGAGAGGACAATATTTACAGTCAATCTGGCATATAGGCAAGTTTACTGTTTATACTCATAGCAAGTTTTTGCATTTGACAATAGTTAGCAGTTGCATTTCCCCCATATGTAGACTCAAATTATATAGTTCCGTTGGCCATCAACGATGAACTGCGTTTATGGAGTTGGACGGTGTATATTGGTATTTCTCACGGCTGTCTTGTGCATTTACTGCTTGGTAATGCTATTAACTATTAGGATGGACAGAAAAAAACGTTTCAAAGACAACCCCCAGACCTCACTGAAAGACTTCTGAATTGATCGTGAAACTTGGGAAGTCACTGCATGTGACCACTCATCCTGGCGCTCCTCTCTTCATCGAGGAGTTGTGGCCCATAAAGCTGCTAGAACTGCAGCAGCAATTCTGAAAAGACAAGACAGGAAAGACACTGAAGCAAATCACCAGAGAGATGGGCTTTAATTCCCTGTCCACATTGCTCAAGAACTTTCCTTGCTAGAATAGGTCTTGTCAGTCATCTGCGCACTCACAAAACCTTATCCAGTCACCAATGGGTGAAAGGGCGGGTCATCATCACCTGTGATGGACGAAAAACAATAACAGCTTTGCCGAAACTGCAGTTTTCTTCAATTGTGTTCCCCTCCACAACAACAGATGGAGATTTTGTGTGGTTTTGGTTGACACAGGAACGGAGCAACGATTGGGTGACCCCTTTGCTAGGAAGTTGGAACTCGCTGACCTGATTGCGTGAGCAAAGACGAGCCAGTCCTCCTTCGGACAATAGGTTAGTTGCATATCCTTTACAGGACGTTGCAGAAACCAACCCCAACAGCCCCTGGTTGTTGTGTGGTTTGTCTAGGCAAATTTACGTCCAGTAGTTTGCCATTGCCTCCGGACGGTCGGCTTTCTTGATACCACTGTCGAAACCAACGCAAGGCTCATGGCCCGCAGCTGGGATCGAAGCCGGCATCCCGGCATTACGAAGCGTTCGCATGGACTTAGCCACAGAGCCGACTGGGACAATAGAACATGTTAAATTGACTAGAACAACAGTTCTCACCCTGTAGGTCTCGACCCTTTTGGCGGTCGAACGGCCCTTTCACCATCGGAAAATATATATTCACTGAAGTTTAAAAGTAGCAACGACAATTATTTATGGTTGGAGATCTCCACAACACGAGGAACTGTTTGAAAGGGTCGCGGCATTAGGAAGGCTGAGAACCCCTGAATTAGATCAATTAGAGAACTAGACAAGTCAGTCGGTGTTTTTCAGACGAGATGGGAGACGAAGAAATGGGACACGAGAACTTAGTAAAGACCTGCACGCTTAACGACAATGCAGCAATAACAAGAAAGCAAAAGATATTAATGCCTGGATGGCTTGGTCATATGGATAGGACAAGACGAGACCACTGACCAAGCACACGATTCTCATGACTGTGTGAGTTGGAGAAACATGACAATCTAGGTTTAACGGCACGGCTCACGGCAATGAGGAGCCTGGATTGTTTTTGTACATCTAGTGGATTGTTCTTTTCTGATGCAAAAAAAAAAAGTAGAATATCCTCTCCCCCCCCCCCCCCCCCCCCCATTTGTTCCCCCCTTCATGTGAAGAGTGAATTTCCCCTTTTTAACTAAGTAGTGAATAGTACTTAAAATTAATAATAAATTGTAATTTGCATTACTTTTATGTAAAAATGAGTTTACTTTTTAAATACGAACTGTAACTACTATTTAAATACTGAGAGTGAGCTGATACTTGACAGAAGACCCCAACAATGAGGTCTAAAAATGTATAAAGAAAATCCAACAAAAATAGGGAAAAAGCAAGAAAACAGTAATCCAGCGTCTCTTAATAATGTCCCAGTTAAAGATGTGGAGTTACCCTTGTATTTTTGGTTAATACAGATATTAAACTACGAATTCAAAATAAAGTAGTGCTTATATAGAAGTAGGAAATCGGCGTAAATTAAATGAAATTTAAAGTAGTACCTGACCTAAAGTATTTAGCTCTAATATCTAATCTTTACAATTGTTGTGTGGAGGGGAAACACGGAGAACAGAAAAACAGTTAATGATAAACTACAGACATTTATTAGTTGGTGCCTGAGCTAATTTAGAGGTAATTAAATGATTGATAGCATCTGAAATATCTAGCCTTGGGAGGGAACTAAACAAATGTAAGTGAATCAAGAGGTGAAGAAAAGACGATGGCGTTGGATAAGACACACATTGAGAACATCTGAGAAAACAGAATGATTAGACTATCTTTGTAATGGGACCGTCAGGTTAAAAGAACCTAAGCCATACTAAAATAACATGGAGAAGGGAACGAGAGGGAAATTTAAAAGGCAGAGAAGACGCGGGGTGAGCTGCGTACGATAGCAAAGGATGGGACAACTTGGTGTGAAGTGGTTGCGAGCTTATGTCCCACTGGCAAAAAAGGGCAGGAAAAGACGGAGAAGAAAAAGGAGCATAAGAAGGAACAATAAAAGAAGAAGGATTTTAAGAAGAAGAAGAAGAAGAAGAAGAAGAAGAAGAAGAAGAAGAAGAAGAAGAAGAAGAAGAAGAAGAAGAAGAAGAAGAAGAAGAAGAAGAAGAAGAAGAAGAAGAAGAAGAAGAAGAAGAAGAAGAAGAAGAAGAAGAAGAAGAAGAAGAAGAAGAAGAAGAAGAAGATTAAGATTAAGATTAGGATTAAGAAGAAGAAGAAGAAGAAGAAGAAGAAGAAGAAGAAGAAGAAGAAGAAGAAGAAGAAGAAGAAGAAGAAGAAGATTAAGATTAAGATTAAGATTAAGAAGAAGAAGAAGAAGAAGAAGAAGAAGAAGAAGAAGAAGAAGAAGAAGAAGAAGAAGAAGAAGAATACTTTGGAGTTTTATAGTACTAAGCGTCAGGGCTTTTCTTCTGGCGGTTGCATAACGAGCACCTCTATTTTACGTAACATGATTTTGTTTTCAGGTACACTATAATAGACACTTTGAGGTGAGTGTAGGCACCTTTTTAAAGACACTTTGAGGTGTGTAGCGTCATCTTTTAAAGTAACTATAAAGTGTGTACGCACTTTTTTTTTTTAACGCTCCAAAGAATAAATGGTACATTGTTTAGTACTAATAGCGAATTATACACATCAACAGGTGAATATGAGAGTGGGAATTCACACCGGAACTGTTCTCTGTGGGATTGTTGGTACAGTACGTTTCAAATTTGACGTCTGGTCTAACGATGTGACCCTGGCCAACATCATGGAGTCTACTGGCGAGCCCGGAAAGGTCCACATCTCTGAGGCTACCCGGGAGTTCCTGGTGGACGATTACGACATGGTTGAAGGCGAGGAAGTAGCAGGTAGGGTGTGTTTTGTGTTGTTGTTGTTCTTTTTTTTTTTTTTTTTGGTCCGTCTATATGTACACTGTTTTTATACCTGTAAAATAATCGGTTCGATACAGTTGCAGGCAATCTGGCAACTGATCTCTTGGATTGCATTGGTTTTGTCAGTGTTATGGATATGAAGTCACCGTGGTGCTAGACGCTCGCTTGCGCATACGAAAGTCGCGGGTTCAAATCCGCGTGTTGCCGGATTTGTTTCATACATGTTCGTTGCTGCCAGGTCGACTCTGCTTTATGTGGGTACCAGGTAACCTACTGGGAAGTAAATGGTGCCGGCAGGACGTTGACCAATTGACTCACTGGTCAATAAAAATATAATCTAGCCTCATACGATCAGTGCATTGGGCTTTAATTTTTTTCACTTATTGTGAACAGGCTTTTTAAACAAGTAATGCCAAACTGCTAAATATCAAATTGCCTAGTAAAACCACAAAGAGCCAAATATCCTGAGTTTGGCGTGCAACGTACTGTAAAGTAGGCACACTGTATTCCCTATAACCGACTCCGTCTTTAGGGGTCTCCACGGGTAAGCGATTGAGCCGCTGGTTTTTCCCAAGGAAAGTCGTGGTTTTCTTTCATCGACTGCATCGTTCGGTTCATTAGTGCAGTTTTTGTGAAGATCCATTGTGATTTTCACAAGAGTTACTGAGTACGTGCATTGTACGACACAGCTAGAGGTTCTGTGGGGAAAGGGGGTATGCAAGAGAGAGAGAGAGAGAGAGAGAGAGAAGGGGAGGGAGAGAGAGGGTAGAGAGAGAGAAGGAGGGAGGGAGAGTGAGAGTCATACTAGCTAAACCCATCGCAATAATGCTTATCATTTCAAATTCAAAATCCGGTCATACCTCTAAAACAGTGTTGCTTTTACTTCGCATTCGTTTTGCTCGCGGTTCGTAATAATAATATAATAATAAAATAATAATAATATTAATAAAAATAATAATAATACAAGTAATAATAATATTATTATAAAGTATTAGCCTAAGCTTCTTCTTCTTCTTCTTCTTCTTCTTCTTCTTTGTCATCTTCTTCTTTTTCATCATCGTCATCATCATCATCAATTGTCTAGGGTGATGCCCCTGAAATAGAGGTTGCGGGGAGCGGCTGAAGATGCCAGAACCCCACAGGTTCCGGCACAAATGGGTTCATTTGCCACTTGGTCTCGAACGGCGCTCCTTCATTCGCCTCTCGTGTTTACTCTTATTATTATCTTACGTGTTTATTATTATTATTATTGTTACTATAATCTGATGTGTTTATTTCTATTATTATTTTTATCAGTAGCAGTAGTCGTAGAAGCAGCATCGTCACCATTATTATTATTTTTATTATTCACCCTGGTCTTTGTTTATTTAGCACTGTGTCGAGTGCCGAGGCAGCATTCGTTTCTCTCGAGAACAATCTGATGTTTTATCGCCGGTATAGCTTTGATCTTTCTGTGTGTCCTAAAACCACATGACTGACAATTTAAAAATCGATGCCACCGTTTCTTGAAATCACGTGTTACTGAAATTAAAGAAATTACCTCAAGTGGTAAACATATAAATATTCTTGCATTATAAATTGCCAATTTATCATCAACCTTATCATCATTTTCATCACCACCTCCACCACTATCTCACGATCACCACCACAGTCATCATCAACTACTTAAGTTTTCCGAGCCCTTGGGGTTCAGTGCTGCAAATATCACCCTCCTCCATTCATCTCTCTGAGCAGGTAGACCCTTCATAATAGGGTGGTTCAGGGGGTCTTTAGCCTAGTTTATGTGCGCAGTAATAATAATAGTAATTATAATAATGATCTGTCTATTCTCTTTTTATGCTTAAAGCTGTTAGGCGTCACAGGCACGGTTAATTGTCGGTTTCCGGGATAGTGCGCGCTCGTTAGCCTGCTGCATTGTGATATTGTTGCGTTTCAGAAAGTGTTCAACTCAGTCTATCCACACCTTCTTGGTCTTCCTCCGCATCTTGATGTTTCCATTATTGTATTGTATACTTTTACAATCGTTGACGCTGAGCTCATTCAGATCAGATAGCCAAACCATTTCAGTCTGTACTTTTCAGTAAATCTAATTACTAGTATTGTTGCCATCGTTTTAATGATATCTTTGTTTCCTTTATGTTATCTTCTTGATATGGTGACCGCTCTTCTCAAACATCTCATTTCACACGTCGTTAGTTTTCGCTTGTGTTCTCTTGTTATTGCCCAGGTTTGGCATTAGTAAGACATTGTTGGTAATATAATGTTGGTAATTATAATGATAATTATTATTCGGCTATCCTTTGTATAACGGGCACAAAAGATGGCGGCCGCTTTGCTCGTGAGTCCTACCCGTCTAGGTTAGCCCCAATCTACGCAGCGTGAGCGGCGGGCGGGACTCGTGGTGGTGTGGTGGTAGTCGCAAATTAAATCGCCGGTAGTGCGCAATTGACACGTGACTGAGGCTCCTAAAGATATTTTACCGCCGCCATCTTTTGTGCCCGTTTTTTGGAGGATAGCCTAGTATTCTATTTTGAGTAACAAACAAATATAATATTGTAAATTGTATGAAAATATATTGACACAGACTGAAAAAGAGAATTCGCTTTGGGAGACATCTAAAATTGGGGGGGAGGGGGGGGGGGGGGGCAGAGAGTTTCCGCAAATAATCGGTTCAGGCACGTATGCTATCGCCTGCCACTCGGTTTCGAACGGTGCTGATTCACTGAAAGCCTATTCGTCTGTATAGATGCGATTGCCGGACAAAAAGCAAAGAGATGATGACGATGTTACATGCAATGGAGCTTATTTATTTATTTTCTGTCAATGATTTTTTTTTTTTTTTTTTCAAAAATATTGTGGAGAAAGGAGATGACAGAATATTTTAGTAAAAGAGGAGGAGAGAGTTCGATGTAAATGATGGGGCAAACATAGGTTGGGCTGCATACGATAACGTAGTCTAGAGCAGAGGTTCTTCCACCTCCATATATTTATAAAGTAACTAGCTGCACCCAGCCACGCGTTGCTGTGGCATAGTTTGGCTAAATGGAAATGAAAGAAAATAGAAATCGCACGTGTCTAATACAATCATTGTCTGCTCAGATATAGATATAGTCTTTGATCCCCGCCCCCCCCCCTCCCCCACCACCACCACAACTAAATCCACCTACTACTCTCTCCGTCATCAAAGGTTTTTGGAAAAGAAAGACAATGGAAATCGCACGTGTCTAATATAGTTAATGTCACAATCATTCTCTGCACAGATATAGAGATAGTCTGGTTTTCCAACTTTAGAACACGCACCTTATAATTGTGTCTTTATATTAGTGGTCATTTAAATGGTGTTATTAGCACAGTAAAAAAAATTGTTATTTGGTTATCACATGCTAAAGCTGTTTGTATTTTTATAGGGGACAAAAGTAAAGCCACAACTGTACTTGTGAATAACAAAGTAAGTCGTAAAAAATAGAAAATCGGAGGTAGCGTTAGTAAAATATAAACAAATTAGGTAATGAGAACTTGAAAATCACGTGTAAAGCTCGCTAAGTTCTCTTAAATTTAAGTCATTACCCCCTCCCCTCGCCTCTTCCATCGACTACTGCTCTCTCCCTCTCCGAAAGATTTGAAAATCATTACCTGGCGATATTTTTTTGTTGCTGTACCTGACATTGACATCCCTGTCCGTCCGGACTAAAATGGGAAGCAGGAATTGAAATAGGTAGTGAATGGGGCTAGTGTAATATTTACCACATCATCATTCAAGTACCAATACAACTACTATCACGACCACCACCACAGTAGCTAAAATAATGTCACTGCTATCTGTGTTACCACCGGAGTAGACAGAGAGTCGTGAGCCAGAAGATTTGGTTCCGCATGGCTAGTGCTGTCGCCACAGACTGGTCAGGTTAGGATATATAATTTCACTTGCCGACAGAAGAACGCCATAACCTTACCGGCGGTCTTCACATGAGAGCACTATGGTGTAACAGCTCAACCACAACTATTACTGCTGCTGCTACTTTAAGTGGGTAAACCAGTTACTGTGACTTAAAGCTCTCCCAGTTAATAGTTTGTTTTTCCCCCCCCCCCCCCCCCCCCCCTCAATTCACCGACAACTCTTTCCCTCATTGAAGTAGTTTGGAGAAAAAGAAAAAAAAAACACTTGAAAGGCATATGAACACAGGGAAAAAAGAACATAATTAGGAAATGAACGCTATGGTAAACAGCACAGCTTAAAATTCCAACGCAGATGAAATAACTAAATCTAAATGAAAATAAATGGAAAGCTTTGAAATTTCAGCGTAACCATGCAATCGGAAAGTTAAAAAATGCAATCATAAGTATGCGAAATGGTGAAATTTAAATATCAAATGGTTTACCGATTTACTTTTAGCATTAAGGGCAACATTGCTAGTGCTGTCACCACGACAGAGCAGATGAGGATATTATTTTAGTCCGGGGTAAAAAAAAACATTAACTGCTGCAGATTCGAACCCTGGTCTCCCGCAAGGGAACCCAGTGTTCTAACCATTCGACCAAGCAGCCACTTAATTGGAGCACCGAAAAGAGAACTAAACTAGTAAAGATGTGTGTCCCTACTACTGTGTCCCGATTATAAAACGACTCAAAACCGCAGGCAATTGTTTTCTCGTAGACAGATACTCCAGATATATTAATGAAACGGCACAACAATAGAAATCGCACGTGTCTAACACGGTTAATGAAGTTAATGTCGCAGTCAATGTCTGCGCCGACGTCGAGATAGTCCTTGATTCCCCCCCTCGCCCCCCCCCCCCCCCATCGAAGGTTGTTTGAAAAAAAAAACAGAAAATAGAAATCGTGTTTAATATGGTTATTGTGGCAAATATAGAGATAGTCTTGTTTGCTGTACCACAACCTATTACTAACGTGGCTATAATTAGAAATCACTAAAATTATAAATATTCGTTTCGAATATTATGGCTTAAATTGTGGTCACCTATCTCTAACAGTGACAGGTTGAATTTCAAACCATGATGGTTCAACATCCGGTATCAAAACAAACATATCTTGAAAATTTCAGATAAATCGGTTCATTAGTTTCCGAGTCTATAGGGGGCAAACAAACACACAAATATTGATTTTTATATATATAGACAGAAAATGTCCACCTTCATAAAGCCGCGACCGCGACCCTTTCATACAGTTCCTAAGGTAGTGGTGACCCCCCAGCCATGAAATTATTCTCGTTGTTACTTCATAACTTCAGTAAATATATGTGTGTGTGTGTTTTTTTTTTTCTTTCTTTTTTTGGCTATTGTTTTAGACGACCCATGTGAAAGGGTCGTTCAACCCCCAACGGGGTCGTGATCCAGAGGTTGAGAACCACTAGGATAGGGCACCTCGATCTGGAACGGGGTATAGACTGTACTGGCGATTAAGGGCAGCATTGGATAAAGACGACGATGAAGAAAAAACAAGCACAAGACGGCAGCGATGAAGAAGAAGAAGAAGAAGAAGAAGAAGAAGAAGAAGAAGAAGAAGAAGAAGAAGAAGAAGAAGAAGAAGAAGAAGAAGAAGAAGAAGAAGAAAAAGAAGAAGAAGAAGAAGAAGAAGAAGAAGAAGAAGAAGAACAACAACAACAACAACAACAACAAGACGAAGAAGAAGAAGAAGAAGAAGAAGAAGAAGAAGAAGAAGAAGAAGAAGAAGAAGAAGAAGAAGAAGAAGAAGAAGAAGAAGAAGAAGAAGAAGAAGAAGAAGAAGAAGAAGAAGAAGAAGAAGAAGAGGAAGAAGAAGAAGAAGAAGAAGAGTAAGAAGAAGAAGAGGAAGAAGAAGAATAACAAAAAGAAGACGGAGAAGAAGAAGAAGAAGAAGAAGAAGAAGAAGAAGAAGAAGAAGAAGAAGAAGAAGAAGAAGAAGAAGAAGAAGAAGAAGAAGAAGAAGAAGAAGAAGAAGAAGAAGAAGAAGAAGAAGAAGAAGAGGAAGAAGAAGAAGAAGAAGAGTAAGAAGAAGAAGAGGAAGAAGAAGAATGACAACAAGAAGACGGAGAAGAAGAAGAAGAAAAAGAAGAAGAAGAAGAAGAAGAAGAAGAAGAAGAAGAAGAAGAAGAAGAAGAAGAAGAAGAAGAAGAAGAAGAAGAAGAAGAAGAAGAAGAAGAAGAAGAAGAAGAAGAAGAGGAAGAAGAAGAGGAAGAAGAAGAAGAAGAAGAAGAAGAAGAAGAAGAAGAAGAAGAAGAAGAAGAAGAAGAAGAAGAAGAAGAAGAAGAAGAAGAAGAAGAAGAAGAAAAAGAAGAAGAGTAAGAAGAAGAAGAAGAAGAAGAGGAAAAAGAAGGAGAAGAGGACGGACTAGGTGGAATGAGAGTGGCACCATGGCAGAGTTTCCCACCTAATATTGCCAAAGACAAAAGTGAGTACCCTGCAGCTATCTTCCACTGTGAATACGGCACAGTTTTACTCAATCCTAGGAGGGGGGGGGGGGGGGGCTATTTTTTTAATGTATTGGTATTATTTCGCACTTAAAGTAGGCTTAGACCTGTTTTTTTTTTAAGTCGGCGACCCAGATAGAAAGACGACGTAAACTGGTTGAGGAGAGATACATTTCGGCACATCTATCCTGTGTGTTTGCAACATCCAACTGTCAGACCTAATATCTCACTGGGGATAAATGGTAATTGCATTATCTAATGGCTTTGAGTACAACAGTGATAGCAGAGACAAGTTAACTAGTTTGGAAGTGAAGCTCGCAGGTGCAGACAATCGTTTTGTTTATGGTCGACTTGTCCACGAACATAGAACCCCACAAGCGTAGAGGCCACAAAAGCATAGGGGCCACACAAGCATAGAGGCCACACAAGTGTAGGGGTCACACAAGCGTAGGGGCCACACAAGCATAGATGCCACACAAGCGTAGGGGCCACACAAGCATAGGGGGCACACAAGCATAGGGGCGACACAAGCATAGGGGCAACACAAGCATAGGGACCACACAAGCCTAGGGACCACACAAGCGTAAGGGCCACACAAGCATAGGGACCACACAAGGATAGGGACTACACAAGCATAGGGACCACACAAGCGTAGGGACCACACAAGCATAGGGCCACACATGCATAGGGGCCACACAAGCATGGAGACCACTCAAGCATGGAGGCCACACAAGCATAGGAGCCACACAAGCATGAAGACCGCACACGCATGGAGGCCACAAAAGAGTAGGGACCACACAAGCCTAGGGACCACACAAGCATAGGGACCACACAAGAGTAGGGACTACAAAAGTATAGGGACCACACAAGCGTAGGGGCCACACAAGCATAGGGGCCACACGTGCATAGGGCCACACAAGCATAGGGGCCACACAAGCATGGAGGCCACTCAAGCATGGAAGCCACACAAGCATAGGGGCCACACAAGCATGGAGGCCACACAAGCATGGAGGCCACACAAGAGTAGGGGCCACACAAGCATAGGGGCCACACAAGCATGGAAGCCACACAAGCATAGGGGCCACACAAGCATGGAGGCCACACAAGAGTAGGGGCCACACAAGCATAGGGGCCACACAAGCATGGGGGCCACACAAGCATAGGGGCCACACAAGCATAGGGGCCACACAAGCATAGGGGCCACACAAGCATAGGGGCCACACAAGCAAAGGGGCCACACAAGCATGGGGGCCACACAAGCATGGGGGCCACACAAGCATAGGGCCACACAAGCATAGGGGCCACACAAGAGTAGTGGCCATACAAGCATAGGGGCCACACAAGAGTAGGGGCCACACAAGCATAGGGGCCACACAAGAGTAGGGGCCATACAAGCATAGGGGCCACACAAGAGTAGGGGCCACACAAGCATGGAGGTCACACAAGCATGGAGGCCGCACAAGAGAAGGGGCCACACAAGCATAAGGGCCACACAAGCATTGAGACGACTGTTAAGGAGGGACACAGAGCTAACATGGGTTTGTCCTGAATGATGTGATTGCGAATCATATGAACCAGAATTTGTGATTTAACTTGTTAGTGTAGCTGTGAAAATCTTTGGATCAATCAAAGATGCAAACGCTGTGATTGAGAGATGAAAATTAAAAATCTGTCGTCTATATCATCACGAATAAGTAGCATCTTAGACTGCAATTGTTGCCGCATATGGGGGAGAAGGGCAGAAAATAGAGAGACAAAAGCTGCTTACGCGAAAAGAGCTCAATGGTGGTAGACCAAGAGGAAGAGAAGGAAGAAGGTGACGATATTGGTGACGAGGAGAAGGAGAGATGAGGAAGAAGAAGGAGAAGGAGGGGGAAAAGAAGGAGGAAAGGAAAAGAAGATGATAATGATGACAAAGAGAAGGATAAGAACGAGAAGTAGAAGAAGAAGAAAGAGAAGAAGGAGATGATTATGATGATGATGATAATAAAGAGGAGGACGAGAAGAAGATGGTGATGATGATAATAAAGAGGAGAATGAGAAAAAGAAGAAGATGATGATGATGATGGTGATGATGATGATGATGGAGGAGGAGGAGAAGGATGAGGAGAAGGAATGAAAGAAGAATAAGAAAAAGATGAAGAAGAAGAAGAAGAAGAAGAAGAAGAAGAAGAAGAAGAAGAAGAAGAAGAAGAAGAAGAAGAAGAAGAAGAAGAAGAAGAAGAAGAAGAAGAAGAAGAAGAAGAAGAAGAAGAAGAAAAAGAAAAAGTTGATGATGATGATGATGATGATGATGATAATAATGATGAAGAGGAGAAGGAGAAGACAAGAAGAAGAAGAAGAAGAAGAAAAAGAAGAAGAAGAAGAAGAAGAAGAAGAAGAAGAAGAAGAAGAAGAAGAAGAAGAAGAAGAAGAAGAAGAAGAAGAAGAAGAAGAAGAAGAAGAAGAAGAATAGATAACGACTGTTGAAAAGAAAGAGAAAATTTTTGAAAGAAAGTGGAAAGATAGGAAGAGAAAGAGGAGAACCTAACAATTCTGTTACTATATGTGGTACAGTCAAAGAACACAATAAATCAGTATAACCTGAAAACTTTATCTATAAAATATAGAAACCAATTGCTCGCTGTGAAATGTTAAACAGCAACGTGATAAATGTACCGATGTACAGAACTGATTCCTAAAATTGGCAGCGATTCGTAGTCGGAACAAAATTGTATTATCTTTTGATGAAGTGAACGGGAATAGAAATTCTGCAGAGAATGGTATTTTATCAGCTGCATCAGCGCATACAACATATTTCATCTGTTATGTATTTGACACATGGAAAGACAGAAACAGAGGCGCAAAATTGGGAAATTGTAAAATTGCATTTGCGTAGGGGCGCTACAGCCACGCGCAGAACCAACAAGTGCTAAACACTGCAAATCACCTGTTTGACAATCCTAGGCGAAAGATGTGTAGCTGCAAGGGTAGTGTTGAGTTGAGTCAAGAATCGACATCACAGCATTCCCATGCATGCTCCGTCCTCATCTCCAGCAGCCATCCAATACTGATAGTACCGGTCACAATCTGGTTATGTCTTTCCCAGGTGCCTCATTCTCTCCAGGTCATACAAATCTACTGATTCCGTTGCTTGTTCCCAAAGGGCCTTGACCGCATCAGCCTTGTCATATATCAGTTCACCACCCAGTGGTGCAGATCCAGCGAAACTGTCTGCCTGTTCATTACCCACTTCGCCGGCTGAAAGGGTAGAATACAGGACGAGTCTGGATCAGTTTCAGTGATGATATTCCTCCATGTCACTGTCATAAACCATCCACCGTGGCTTCTACCAGTAAGGACAGCTGTTTGTATGTGATGAATCAGAAGGTTTGATACTGAGTGATACATGTCGGTCTATTTGCGGACTTACCTCGAAGTAAATAAATGAAGTTTTCATTGGAGGGTACACGAGAGTGGGAACGTCCTTGTTGATATTTTGTCCACATTAAAGTTGCCAGTACCATTTACACTTATGATGTCTTATCAAATCATATAAAGTTATGTCCTTTCAATTTGCTGTTACACTTTTGCCCAACTGGTCCTTGAGGTACTTGAAGTTTTCGCATTGTTCCTGCAGGAGCTCTTCCACCGTTCACAGCGAAGGTCATACCTTATACGTTTCATCCGTTAAACACTTTGGCCTGGTATTCGTTTCATGTTCAGCGTTGATTTACTGTCATTATACGTTTCTAATTTATAGTGACTTCACACATTACCGCTTGCTCTTTTGTCTTCAACACAACCCCCATCCGCACGCTTCAAGGAGAATGGGGGTAGACCTCGAGGCAAGTCAAGAGGACGGTGGTGAGATAATAAACATGCAGACCTACAGACGCTTGGAGTCACTAACTGGAAAGAGAAGGAGGCCATTCAGACGCGTAATGAACCTCACGGGCTCCGAATGCTGAAACGACGATCTTTGCAGTCTCACCGGAAATACGTAGGCGGGGATCTAGAAGGCTACCCAGGTGGGTAATTAGCGCGGCCATCTTGAGGATATAAATATATGCAGTCGGACGTGGTAATTAGCTAGACAGGTGCATACATATAGTCACGTGGCATAGATGTAGAATGTCCATATTTGACTCCAAAAGGTCCAGGTATGTCTGCAATGAGATGAATATAGTTGTAGGAAACGGCGCAAAAAAGAAATCATCCTCCTGCATTCGTTGGTAATGACAGGCGGCCTATCTATCACCGATAAGGACGAACGCACCAATTTTATTTTCCAAGGGTCACACATTGAGATCTCAGGCTTGTCCTAAATTCGGCCCTTTCAGCCACTCATCTTTCGCTTAGGAAATGTCAAACAACATGTTCCGATAATCATTCGCATCTGCAATGTTGGTGGAGGGAGGCAGAGGCGATTATGTTTCTCCTTGGCAACTTGGCATCTGTGTCCTTGAAGAGTTAAAGATTTTGAGTTGAATTGACTTGAGTTTATTTAATCCAAGAATCGACATCACAGCAATCGGGGCATTCTCATAAGCGTCCCGTCCCCATTTTCAGCAGCGAGCTCCTAGTTCCAATATTTAAGGTACCGCCTTGCCTTTCCTCTGAGCGCCGTGTATTGGCCAGATCCCCTCGTCATTCCCCGCTGCATCGCTCTCACCAGACTGTGATGATCCATTTGTTCCTCCGAGTTAAACACGTGTTCCAGTAAGGCCTTAACCACGTCTGCCTCATCGTGCATCTATATTGCTTTAAGCTGTGCAGAGCCAGCCATTCTGTCCGCCTGTTCATTTCTCATCACACCGGTAACCTTTACTTCCCAGTACTCCAACTGGTACCCACCCGAGGCTTGGTAGACCTGCCAGTTAGAGTTATATTTAAAATAAATTCTAAATTACTAAACTAAAATAATTCTTAGTTCAGTAATAAATCTAATCCAGTAATGTATCAAATTCAATACTGTTATAAATCTAAAAGGTAACATAATATAAACATTATCGACAGCAACTAAATGTTAATTATGAGTGGGCGCATGTGATATCTGTAGCAATGAACCTCAATGGCTCGGAATGCTAAAGAAGAATGAACGCGCTCGACTGACACCTTTAGTTTCCAACAATAATGATTCGCAGTGTAAAAACCAATAAATCCACGGAAAATATGACATATGGTTATCTTGCGGTAATCTTTTGAGGAGACA